ACAGTAACCATGATTTGGGAGAATCCCAGGGGCTCTGTTGAAGACTTGGGAGGGGCTATCATTGATGAACATCTCATTTTTCTTTTTCTCAGAGCTGAGGACCGAACCCAGGGCCTTGCTCTTGCTAGGCAAGCGCTCTACCACTGAGCTAAATCCCCAACCCCAGAGAGCTCATTTTTGAAAATTATTCTTTTAATCTGTAGGGGTGTTTGCTGTAGCTAGAGTTTTCCTGCCTTGCCCACAGTCAGGACAAATCTTTGTCACCTGCCAGTCCCACAGCTGCTCAGACCCAACCAAGTAAACACAGAGACTTATATTGCTTACAAACTGTATGGCCGTGGCAGGCTTCTTGCTAACTATTCTTATAGCTTAAATTAATCCATTTCCATAAATATATACCTTGCCACGTGGCTCGTGGCTTACCGGCATCTTCACATGCTGCTTGTCATGGTGGCAGCTGGCAGTGTCTCTTCCAGCCTTCCTGTTCTCTCCTTTCTCCTCTTTGTTAGTCCCGCCTATACTTCCTGCCCGGCCACTGGCCAATCAGTGTTTTATTTATTGACCAATCAGAGCAATTTGACATACAGACCATCCCACAGCAGTTTGCCTGCATGCATGATTGTGCATCATACTTGTAGTGCCCACAGAAGACAGATGAAGGCATTGGATCCCCTGGGACTGGGGATACAGTCAGTTCTGAGTTGCCATGTGGGTGCTGGGAACTGAACCTTGGTCCTCTGGTAGAGCACCCTTAACCACTGAGCCATCTTTCTTTTTTTTTTTTTTTTTTTTTTTTTTTTTTTGGTTTTTCGAGACAGGGTTTCTCTGTGTAGCTTTGCGCCTTTTCCTGGAACTCACTTGGTAGCCCAGGCTGGCCTCGAACTCACAGAGATCCGCCTGGCTCTGCCTCCCGAGTGCTGGGATTAAAGGCGTGCGCCACCACCGCCCGGCCCAACATCTAATTCTTAAGAAGTTGAACTTGAAAGCTCCTGAGGTCCCTTCCGAGACCTCCCTTATCCCCAGTTCTCATTCCCTCCCTGCCTAGCTCCTCCCCCATTACCCCTATGGAGCCACCCCAGCCCTCTCAGGCTCCTGTCTCTCAAGTTCCCTGTCCCTTCTTTAGAGACTGACCTCCCAATGTGGTTCATGTACCAAACGAGGGCTAGGGAAAGACTCTATGAGCTTTGGGTACTGTTTTTTGTTTGTCTGTTTTTTTTTTTTTATTTTTTTTTATTTTTTGGTTTTTCGAGACAGGGTTTCTCTGTGTAGCTTTGCGCCTTTCCTGGAACTCACTTTGGAGACCAGGCTGGCCTCGAACTCACAGAGATCCGCCTGGCTCTGCCTCCCGAGTGCTGGGATTAAAGGCGTGCGCCACCACCGCCCGGCTGTTTGTCTGTTTTTGTTTTTGTTTTTCAAAACAGGATTTCTCTATATAACAGCTCTGGCTGTCCTGAAACTTGCTTTGTAGACCAGGCTGGCCTTAAACTCACAGAAATCCTCCTGCCTCTACCTCCCAAGTTCAGGGATTAAAGTCATGTGCCACCACTGCCCAGCTTTGGTACTGTTATACAGACAAACTAAAAAAAAAAAAAAAAAATAGACTACGTCACAAAAATATTAAGGCACGGAAAGAATCAAGTCATTTTTTTTTTTTAAAGACATAGAATAACTTCTCTGTGTCTGGGGAGTCAGCTGGCATCCTCTCCAAATGTCTGGAACTGCTTCTGGGTGCTGGCGGCCTGGGTGACCTTTAGCACACTGAACTGCACTGTCTTGCTCAGGGGCCTGCACTCAATCATGGTGATGATGTTACCTATGTCCAGGCCCCTGAAGCAGGGGACAGGTATACAGACAGATGTATTCCTGTGCTTCTCAAAGCGACTGTAGTAGAGATGTGGCAGCGATAGTCCCTGTGGGTCACAATAGTCCTATTCACCCTCAACTTGGTCACCACGCTGGGTGGTAACTACCCTCACGTGGAGACATTATCAGTAAACGGGGCATTTCTTTTCTATATAGGTGCCCTCCATGGACTCTTTGAGTATCTGAAGCTTACACTGATGTTCTTGTGGTACTGAGTGGGCTTCTTCTTGCCAGGTTCTCCCAGCCAAACCTTCTTCTTGTTTTGAAAGATTATGGGCTGCTTTGGGTAAGCATGCTTCAATCTGAATATATGCAGTCTGAAGAAGAGCCAAGTCAATTAGTATAATAGATCCAGTCACATGACCATTAGCATAACATCCCATGGTCTAGAATCCAGACAAAATGCCCAAATTCTGGGTCCACACCACACACACATTGCATCCAATATCATTGACTATACTCACAGTTACAGCTCTGCTAGCCTGCAGGGAAGGTCACCTTCAAAGAAGGGGTCAGTGGTGGTCACTCAGATGTCTTCCTGGCTCCCTCTGTTACTTTTTTCTGCTCCTTGTTCAAGTCTTACCTATTTGTTTGTTTAGTTATTTTTTTCACATTTATTTCTTGTGTATGTACATTTGTGTGTGCATGCCTCAGCCTAGATATAGAGGTCAGAAGACTAACTGTGGGTTCGCCCCCACCACCACCGTGTCTGTTCTAGGGATTAAACTCAGTCCATTGGGCTGGGTAGCAAGCAATACCCACCGATCTATCTCCGCGCCTGGTTAGTTCTTCTGGGAGGCAGGATCTCACACAGCCGATACTGGCCTTGAATTCCTGATCATCCTACCTCCCTATTCCAGTTACTGTGATTATAGCCATGGGTCTCCCTACCCAGCTTGTTGTTGTTGATTCTTCCTTTGGTTTTGAGACAGAAACTCACTCCATAGCCCAGACTGGTGGTCTCAAATCCATCAGTTCTCCTGCCTCAGCCTCACACTCCATCTGTGTCAGCCTCCAGCATGCTAGGATTACAGGCCTTGCTAAGAACGATGTTTAGAGACTAAGAAAACTGCAGTGAAAATGAGAGAGTGGAGCTGGGCGGTGGTGGCGCACGCCTTTAATCCCAGCACTTGGGAGGCAGAGCCAGGCGGATCTCTGTGAGTTCGAGGCCAGCCTGGGCTACCAAGTGAATTCCAGGAAAGGCTCAAAGCTACAGAGAACCCCTGTCTCGAAAAACAAAACAAAAACAACAACAAGAAAATGAGAAGTGCTGAGACAGACTGCCGAGGGTGAGACCTATCCAACCAGACAGGTGGCCAGCTTTTGATGAGGAATCTGTTTTTGTTATTATTATTATTACTATTATCATTATTAGGTTGCTCGAGGCAGGGTTTCTCTGTGTAGCCCTGGTTGTCCTGGAACTGCTCTGTAGATCAGGCGGGCCTCAAACTCAGAGAGCTCCCTGCCTCTGTCTCCCAAGTGCTGAGACTAAATGTGCCACCACATCTAGATGATAATAATATTAATAATAATAATAATATCAAGTTATTGTTGAGATAGGCTCTCAGTATGCAGCCCCAGCTGGCCTAGAACTTGCCACATAGATCAGGCTGGCCTCAAACTCATAGAGATACACCTTGCTTCTGCCTCCCAAATGCTGGGATTAAAGACATGTACCACCATACCTGGGAAAATGTATTTATTTATTCATTCATTCATTTTTGTGTGTGCACCTGCTTGTCAGTATGTGCAACACATATGTGCAATGCCTGTGGAAGCCAGAAGAAGGTACCAGATCCCCTGGAACCTGAGTTACAGGTGGTTGTGAGCCACATGATGTGGGGGTGGGAACTGAACTCCGGTCTTCTGCAAGAGCAACAAATACTATTAATCATTGAGCCATTTCTCCAGCCCCCTTGATGAGTATATTTAATAAGAAACTTTCAGTCCAATAAGATGGCTCAGTGGGTAAAGACACCTGCTACTAAGACTAACAACCTAAATCCAATCCCGAGGACCTAGAAAGTAGGAGAGAACTGACTCCTGGAAGTTGTTCTCTGACCTCCACGTGGGTGCTGTGGCACCTACCATGAACAATATGGCTAGAGGACAGAGCATAGATAGATAGATAGACAGACAGACAGACAGACAGACAGACAGACAGATAGATAGATAGATAGATAGATGAAGTGTAATTTTTAAAAACAAAAAAGGTATAAGTTGGAAAGAGAAAGGCTTGTGTCTTCAGTGGAAGGAAGCCCTGTGTGAACCATCTGAGAGGAGAGATTGTGACACCCCACACTGAGGCCCTGAAGGGCAAAATCTGGGAAACTTCTCCCGTCCAAAGCCTGGGGACTCTACCACTCAACTTAGCCCAACCAGCATGAAAAGTTCACACGAAACCTGACTCTTCTCCACTGGTGTGTCTGAAAACACCTACTTCCCAGGCACGACTTTTGACACACAGTGGCAGTGTTCAGTGTAAAAGGCACGCCTGTCGGTGTCCTGAATGGTTGCCCAAGTGCCATTAACTACTTCACTGTGTGTGATTGCACTCTGGCCAGGGTAGTCCACAGGCTCACGCTGGATTACAGGCAGTGTACTACCGGCCTTATGCACCTCTGGGTCTTGAAAAATGTCTGGAGGAGGTGTCCCTCAGTCCATGGCTCTTTTCTCCAAGTAGTATGAGAGGAACTCTTCTCTGTGGAGGGAGTTGCCACCTGGTCTTTCTGATAGGCTTTGTCCTGAGATCCAAAAAGGTGACTTGGAATATTTGTCCCATTAACACCACCTGGGGGTCCTTGAGAAAAAAGGTGAGCCTCACCTGTGACTGGGGTTGGCCCAGGACAGCCACATGGAGACCTCTGTAAACCAAAGCCACAGGCGCCCGGGCCAGAAGAGGACGGAGGTACGAGGGAAGAGGGGCTGGTTCTGGGTTACCTGAGAGACTTGGAGGCGCAGAGAGGAGCCCAGGGAGAAGAAGGAGAAAGAAGCCAGGTGGGGAGAGGAGGTTCTGCGGAGTGGGGGGGTCAGGCGGAAAGCTCGCTCAGAGAGAGGGGACGCGCACAGAGGCCAGCCACGCAGGACTGGGCGGAGGGGCGGCGCGGTGGGGGACGGGCGCGGGGCGGGGCGGCGCTGTCAGTGCGAGCCGCGAGCGGAATGCAGCGGCCGGAGGCCTGGCCACGT